CCTGGGACACGTTGTTGGCTGATTAAAACATTGAAAACACAACCTACATAAGTCACACAACAAGCGCTTTCTCCTTTTAGAAAGTGGTAGTCGTATCTGGCAGAAAAGGATGCAACCACCAATTTAAACAAATAAAAAAAATGATTTATGTTCTTAAACTCTTTGCACAGCTTGACTCCATTAGTTCCACTTGGGAAGCATTTGGTGAGACTTTTCAGCTTTTCCTTCGACTCCAGTCGAGATGAAGCAGTGATGTCAGACAGAGCGCTGGAGTCACACCGTCAGCAAGTCTGACACTGCTGACATAGCTTTATAGTTTTCTCAAAACTTGCAGTCGTTTAAAACGCGAGACCCCCTTTGTTGAGCGATCAAAAGGTCCAAAGGAAAGCRGCGACATCTCACAACTGCATGATGCAGCTCAAGAGTTAATAAGATGAGAGAATCTAGAGTCAGACAAACCGTTTTGGGTGGTGGTTGATCAAACGGTGAAAACTATGCTGTGCGGCTCCTGTTGCAGCCCTGATTAAATATCTGTGTGCTGTTGGTAAAGTCATTACAAGCAGGAATGGTGGGAGAGTGCCAGCTCAAAGAGAATTTTCCTTCTTTTGAGTGGCCTCAGTGGAGACCAGCCCGCAGGAATCCAGCGGTGGATCGGCACTCAGCCAGTCGGGCTTTGAAATGCCACTCACTCATCTCTCCCATCGTTTTCAGGAGGACTAAATCATATGGAAAGAGTTATTGTGTAGGGCAGGCGCACAGAAAGACGAATGGTGGGGGAATGGAAGACAGGAAACATTGAACTGGAGGTTCTGCTTACAGCACATATGGAAACAAAAATGAAAAAAAAAWTTTTTTAATAAAAAAGCATGAATCCTAACACACTGACCAAGACAGAAATCCATAACTATGTTGTGCATCTTCATCTGTCTGTAAGGTCTGGGTATTTGAACTTTAAAGCAACAGTTTAAATGTTTTAAAAAAACAAATAACGTCTTCACTCAGACTGCAGATTGACTTGTTTCTAGAGAGTTTTCCGTTATCAGAATCCTCTACGGTAGAACGAACATGCAGTTCAGTATTCACCACAAGAAAAAACTTAAAATATGTCCTAATGAAACCATAAAGCTGCAGCTAAGATTCCAGCGCTCGTTACATTGCGTTCTCTGGTTTTTAATCTGTTTGTTTAAAAAGAGCTTGTTAGCTGTGCTGGTCTTTTAACATTTATTAATCATTTTAAAGAGAGTTTTTGCTTAAAACACCGTTCCCTAATCTGGCACCACTTGAACTAAACATTAGTGTCAGTCCGTGGTGGTCGCAGTTCTGCTCGTCTCATAATGGTGGAACTAGCTTCTCATTTAGTAGATTAGCTTCTTTGCTAACTTTGGAAACCATTAGCAAACTGATTAGATTCCTGTAATGTTAGAGCCATTACTGGTTTGGATTCGCCACAGACCCTCACATTAAACCAATAGAAAACTAACAGGTTTGCGTCAGTCCCACCAGTCTTCAACTGGCTGAGTGACAGTCGTTTTAGCGGTTAGCATTAGTTTCCACAATTTTTTTTAGCAGAGCTAAGATTGTTGTTTAGTGGATTAGTGGTTAGTAATCCTAATTGGTAAGCTTTGGTGGTTAGTAATCCTAATTGGTAAGCTTTGCCCACAACTACATTTCTCCAAACTGTTCGAAAAGGAAAGATAATTAATTGGTCATCAGTTTTCCACAAATCCCCACTGGAAAAGATCTGAAAGAGCTCTTTAATATTATATGACTCTACACATGAGCAGGAACACGGTTCTTACTGCAAAGTGAACCAACCACAGCAACAGATGCCTGCACAACACTTTCACCCGCGACACAAAGGCAGAAACCTCTGTCCTGCTGTTTCCATCCACGTTGATGAGGCTGAATCTAAAGGATGCTGCAGGACAAACGAGGCGAGGAAGAGCGAGCCGATGGATTTAACACATGTTGAATCAGACCACATGAAGTAGTCAGATATGCTAACTCAGGGGTCCCACCCCCCCTCCCTCCTCCACATGCCTTTCACCATCTACCGCTGAGCGACCCTGTTAAAGTCATTAGAGCGGGGATATTACTACGCTGGCGGAGGCTGCACCCATGACATCATCGTGGGCTGCTGTCAGGTCCACCGGGACGTCTGTGTGCTGCGTCTGAGAGACAGAGGAAAGGGGGCAGTCCCACCAGAGCAGAGGCAGACATTTTCATAATTATGTCATTATGCAGCAGAAAACATCCCCAAAACAAACAAAAAAAACTACTTTTTATAGAGAATTGCACAATAAGCTGGTGATGTCTTTGCTTACTAACACCGAGGAAAGAAATCTGCTCAGTTTGGAAAGAAAACTGTTAAATGTTTCTAATTAAAACGCACCCAGGTCTATAGTCGTGGCCTTGTCTTTCTGACGAGCTCTAACCACAGTACCGGAGGCTTTGATGTATCTTTATCTCTCTACAAGAAGCGAGCAGAGCAGAYAGAGAGAGAGAGGGGGGACCATTGTTCGATAAGGACTAAAACGTACAAGCGTGTTGCTCTTTCCCAGCAAAGTAAAGGAAATCTGGAGCTATTATGGGGTAGAACGGGGTGGAGCTGGAGGCTGAAAACTTTTCCCACTCACAAACACAACTGAAAATGTTGAGTCTACTGCTTCATGCTCAGAAATCGTCTGCTGCTCTGCTCGGCTGAATATAATAACAGGGATTGTCTTTGTGTTGCTCTCAAACAGCTACCGGCTGCTGGGCAAGCTGTACAGTCTGTTGATTTAAAAAGAGGGGAAAAAAACTGTTTCCAAGGCTTTCTTTATGGGAAATGTACTTGACTGAGGAGCTTTTTAAACTTACTTTCATCCAACTTGTGAACAACAGACTCTGCATGTGGAACACATGACCTGAGCTGCAGTACCAGTGTTTACAGTGTGGCACACCGGAGTGCATAATTATCTTCATTTGGAGATTTTAAGGAGTCGACGAGCAGAGCAGCTTCTTCCCGCTGTCTTTTTGTATAAGACATTTTGTTTTTGTTGCACCTGAAACCTTTAAATCTCCCACAAAAAGTGCAAAAGCGAAGGAAAATGTTAAATGTTAAAAGCAAAATGTTACTATTAGGCTCTTAAAAATTCAAAATGTCAAAGCCGGGGTGTGGTTATGCTACACAAGAAGAAAAAAATAAATAAAGTGGCACTTGTGGGAAAAACTGCCACATCACATAATAAATAAACGAGCAGATTGAAGCCGCATTTACTGAAGCGGAGCGACAGTTCTTTCTGTTTCTGACTCAAAGGAAAAAATCCTCAAACACTGACGTTAATCACAGGCCTGTGGACGATGTAGTGCGACAAGGACATCCTTTGGGCAGGCCTCTGTTTTGTTTTTGTTTTGTTTTTTTAAGTCTGATCTGAGCCAAACGTTGAAGAAGGACTGCTTATTAGCTTCCAAACTGAGAAAAGCAGAATACTGATGTCACTCTGGTCAGGTTTTGGAGAAGAAAGTCTCTCACTGTTGCCAGAGGGACTTCATAATGACAATAATATTAAAATAAAAAAAGAGTGAGCCCTGTGACTTTGACACATAAACCTGTGGAAAATCACGACTTTGATGTGCGGGCCGGGACAAAACGCAGAAGTGAAAATGTGAAGTAAGCAAATCGAAGTAAAATAGAGGATGACATCAAAGTGAATGGTTTTATATCATTTGAGCTTCCCTACTAAAGATTGTCTGTATCTCTTTCATTTTTAAATTGATAYTTTGTTTACATAGTCCTGAATGGGTGCTTTTATTACGTAAATATTTCGGATCGCGCACCGTGCCAAAGCCCAAGTATGTATTATTCTGTTCTATTCTAGTTTGCCATAATARAATGACTCATTTCCAGAATAAAAGCTCAAACAATTGTGTCACAAAACAAGCCTGTAGTTGGCTGAGTTRCAACCAATTTTGTTTCCTGTGGCAGCCATCTTGWATATGRTTGACTCTGAAATTTAATCAGCTATAGATGTTCACACACTGAATGTTTTCAAAAAGTTTCACAATAATCCATTCAGTAATTCATTAAATATTTTGCTAACAGGCAAACAGAACTGACTTAATAAGTTATGGGCAAAGTTTTGAAAACAGATCTTGCAGGATCAGTTAGCCCTCAGAGTGTGTGTTGTGGATCAGTCTCAGCTACTACCACACCGAATTTGATCACAAYAGCTGTCAAACTGGCCGAGTTGTGGCCCTTTTTTTAGTACGATAATAAAGCTAGGCTGAGGCGGCCATCTTGAATGGGATTAGCTCCTGGAGCTAATCAGCTGTAGATGCTCATCTAATGATTACTTTCTGACAGTTTCAATAAAATCCGTCWACTGGTTGGTGAGATATTTTGCTAACAGACAGTCGAATGCGGGCGATAATGTTTCTGTCAAAGTTGTGTATGTGCGTGCTTGTGTCAAAACAAAACGCTGATGAGGAGTGAGGAAGAAAGGAGGGGAGGAAAAGGGGGCGGAGGAGGATGGAGCGGTGTGGTCGTGGGGTGTAGTTCCTCGGGTGTGGGAGTTTTGGGGGAATTCAGAAAATGTCGTTTTCAGATGCTAAAAACCTGAGAGAAAACTTAAATCTGACGCGTCCTATCAGGGATCTACAACACGTTCACCCCCCACATGAGGGGATGAAACCCCTTCATCTCTGTCTCCATGATGCCTCTGAAGCCAAATGTTGACTTTAGGAGACAAAAGAACCGCAGGAAGGGAAGGAGGGAAGGAAAGAAGGGGAGGGGGAAGGAAAGAAGGGGAGGGGGACAGCACGAGTCGGTTCATTTATTGTGGAGGCAGATCATGATGGACTATAAAGACAGGCAGGGGTGTGTAAACACAAACACACCTTTAACCAGAAAACCATACTTTTTTCTAACACACATAGCAAACGATACACCGAAAAGAACGGGATAATAAGAAAACACACTAAAAACTTGTATTTTTAATGTTAAGAAAACTGTGACTTACCAAAACAATGGCAAATTTCTCCTCCAGCTCGGTGGGGTCAGGCATGGGCACCTTCAGAGGCATGATGTGATGTTTTATCTCCGACTGGCCGTCAACACTTTCTATATTACCCATATTTTTTTATTATTCTTTCGAGTTGTTTTTATTTATCAATTTGTCCCGCAACTTCAAACTTCAGCTTCTCTCGAGTTTAATTAAAACAACAAAACGTCCAGTTATTCCAGTTTTCTGCCCAAATTAATCCAAACAGTTCCGACACACGAAACACCGCTGCAGTCCACTGTCCCACACAATGCCATTTACTCAAGTTGATGAGGCGTCAAAAACCAACAGGAAAATTCAAAAGTTTCTACGAAAATACAGCGGCTTCCTCTTCCAAAGCGTAGTATCCGATTTACCCGTCCAATCCATCACGTCCAAAAACTTTTYAATTAATTTTTCTTTGTCATTTCCATCCGATAAATAACGGTTCCAAGTGCTGACTTAAGTTTTTAGCTGCTGCTCAACTTTCTTGGCTGCGCTGCTTTTCCATTCATTATTGTTGTGTGCGCCTGATTAGACTATTTGCTGTTGCCTCTACTCAGAGGGCGGGGTTCGCTCTTTAACTCCGCCCTGGACCGGAGRAGACGTGGCTCCTATTGGTTTTGGTGGACATCAATCATTTAATTAGGTTCCCGCCCCTCACATCTGTACAAACTGTTGAGTTGGTCGAAGACAGCGCTTTACTGCCACCTCGCGGCAAGGCGTGAGCATGACAACTAAAATGTCCTTTACACTGCATGAAATGAAATGAAATAAAATGAAATAAAATAAAATAAAATAAAATAAAATAAAATAAAATACCTGGACATATAGAAAGAGAAAGCTACCTGAATGGGAGGGAAATATATTAGGCATTTATTTATTTCAGTTGTTTTTAGTGTTTTTTTATTGCCCTGGTTGATAGAGCATCTACACAATGCCACGTGAATTCCATTATCATAGATGTGTGTGTATCTGTTAGCAAAATATCTCAACAATTACTAGATGGACTTTAATGAAAATTTGTGCAAGGAATCAGTGAACCCAGTTAAAGATGGCTGTCAACTCTGTCTATTAATAAAATAGCTTATGAACCACTGGGCAGATTTTAGCTTTTTTTTAGGAAAAAAACTGGATGTCCCTTTACAAATGAACAAGTTTTAGAGTCAACCCTGTTCAAGATGGTCACCACAGCAAACTAACCTTAGACAACACAAAAATGGCTCTGATCCAGTCCACAGTATAAATGTTGACCTAAAATTTGATGTGGAAAGAAAAGAAAGGAAAGCAATAAATCCAAGAAATAAATCACAAAACGTGCTTCATACATGAGTGCAAACTTTAATCAACAACTGCAGCAGGTACWCAATGGCATGTTTAAATGATGTCAAAGCAGTGGTTCTTTAAAGTTGGGTTCAGGACCCCGTAGCGTGTCGCTGTAAAATGTTAACCAGGGGTTCTTGTGGATGTTTTCCAGAAAACAAATTAAGTTTTAAAACTTATTGCTGGTCGTAATTGTCGCTATGATTGTTATAAGAGATATAAAGYTTGTTAAAGCCATAAAATGCTACAATAGTTGATGGGGCTGTTTGTGTAGTCATGATGCACTGRATTAGCATTAGCCTTCAGTGACATTTAGGCTTACAAATCTTTTGCCTCTGGTATTTTAAGGGTCAGAACCACTGTGCCAAAGTGCAGCTCTTCATCCCTGAAAAAGTATAATAACTTATTCCCAGCATGGCCCTCATGAGGTCATTACTGCTTTGGTTTGAAAACACAGACACTGCTGAGCGCTTCAGCACCACAAACACTTAAAAACACAAAGAAGCATCCTTCGCTCAAATAGCAGCAACGTTCCGTCTCCGGTAAAGCACAGTGTTTAAGACTCTGTTTACAGTATCATTCAGCTGCTTTAAAAATTGSTTTATAAATCTGCAACACTTTGATTTCTGAAAGTAACATTCAAAACTTACATAAAAATACTTCATCTGAAGAGCGTTTCAGAAACACTGAAAAATTGTGCACAGTTTTGTAACACTTAAGGCAATGATATAAACGTGTCAAGTAAAACTGGGAATCATTAAGACTCTAAAATATAAAATTAAACAGATTCAGATGTTTCGGAGGTTTTGTAAATCTATGAATTACAAGTAATTTTTAGATTTTTCCACAGCATTGAGGCCTTTTTTTAAATATAATTTATAGAAGACATTTACATGCTTTAAAACACACAGAATCTTGGTTTTATACAACACAGTTGCATGTTTATCAAATATCTAAGCAACTAAATCTATCCAAAACAGGGTAGATTGGTACAGCTTTATGAAGACTGAGCTACATTTATGTTTCTTCTTTTTTTTTTATAAATACTGATGATTTGTGGTTTTTGTGGAGCAAAAATGTTTTGGATTTTGTTTTTTGTTTTTTCCGTGGGAGATTTGTTTCATTAAAGCTGAAAATACAACTGCAAGAATCACAGAAGCGACACAATGTTTATGATATACAGCACTGAAGATTCAGTTCTTCTAGCTGCTTTCCGCTACTAAATCGTACCTAAAAAAAAAAGAAGTTTTAGTTAAAATCTCCGACAAAAAAGTATTCTTTATAGTGATTTTTATAAGTCCGTACCATTTTGCGACACCACTCTTGAGGTCAATTTGGTCCAGATCCAGTTGCATCTGAAAACAAGAAGAAGAAGAAAAAAGAGCAAACCAGTCAGATTAGAATCTCAGGGATGAAAGCAGGAAGAGCAGCCAGCCGTGGTGAATAAATCTCACTTTTCCAATCAGCTCCTTCTCTCTGCTCATGAAGGAGACGCTGTGCTTCACAGACAGGTCCAGTTTTTTCTGCATGGCCTCCTCCAAAGAAAACTCAAAGTCAAACCTTGCAGAGAGAGGGGAAAAAGAAGAAAAGATTAAAGTAAAATCCTCCCGCTGTTACCATCACTGTAACGACGTGACGCCTCACCTCTCGTTAAACTCGGGGTTGAGGTCCCTCTTCTTGGTGGCAGTTCGTCTCTTGGTGGTGGCCTTTTTGTCCGGCAGCAGGATGAAGGAAACATACGGGTCAGCGCTGTCCTTGGAGCAGGCTGCCAGGGCTCTGTGGAGGTACAGGCGTATGATGGTACCTTCTTTTCTGAGACAGAAATCTGATTTTAAAAAAAGTAACAAACGTCATAAACCTGCAGGAGTGGACGGTGATGAAAAGTCTGTTTTCCTCTGTGGAGTAGCCGATGCTGAGCTTCACCTGGCCGGCTGYGTTTGTGTTCTCACCCACCCTGAAAACACACGTTTTCTCTCCATCATCACACACACACACATACAAAGAGCATCATTGGTGTGTTTGACTCACATAGAGAATCCACTTCTGTGTTTGAGGTCAAGATGGGACGGATCCCATTTGGGGACGACTTCATCCAGATTATCACCACCCGCTCCACCGCGGTACACYGCTAACTGAGTGTCCAAGATCTGCGACACGGGGGGAAAAAAAGGTAAATATTATATAAATTCTGCACATTTCATGTGGAAAGAGTCTAAAAGGTAAYGATGAACTCTTCTTCATCTTCTAAATAAATGTCAACTCTCTGGAATGCTCTAATTACATATTACCAGATTTAGAAAAAAAAGGTGTTCAAGTAACTTTTTCACTCTGCTGATCTGCAGCCACTTTTTAAAATTGCATTGCTGTCATCAAACTTTGTCATTTTTCAAAAATAAAAGTAGCCCCCCTTAAGGTTATAGTTTGCATGCAAACATTTAAAAAAATTTCTTGCGTGAGAGTTCAAAATAACTGTTGAGACGACTCTCAGCTGCTACCACACCAAATTGTAGCTCAATATGTAAAACTGAGGAGTTACAACCGTTTTGGTTTGATGAGGTCAATTAGCTGTAATCAGTTACTTTAMAAACTAATAAGTTGAAGCTGTATGATTACTTTCTGAGTTTCCTTAAAATCCTTTCATGAGATATTTTGCTAACAGACAAATCCCCACGCCGGCATTTAAGATAACTGCCCTACTTTTAACATTTAAAATAGATGTTAAAGTGCCTGTGACATGACTATCCTTCAAATGCAAAAAGTCAAAAAAACATCTTTATACTTAATAAAATTGGCAAAGTACACATGATTGTTTACATTTTGTCACATAACTGGCCTATTTTCTTTTAAATTTGGCTCAGCCAAAGTGAAACAGGAAGTGACATCAAAGGGGAACGCGTTAAAAAATTAACTCTCTGGTCTCTGTTTATTAAAACAAAATTATTTAAACTTTAACTTTTCTTTGCTTCTCTTTGATAGCAACCAAAACTAATCTAAAGAAACATCAGATTCTTCACTACAGTCTGTGTTGTTGGCTCTTGCAACRATGCTCTGTTTACATTCCGACATTCCCACTTTGACATCACTTCCTGTTTCTTCACATGCCAATATCTCAACAACCGTTTATCTCAGTGACGTGAGATTTGTTTTGCAATATGTTATCAATGTTATCTTTCCAAAAATGCATTCATGCTTCTTACAAAAATTTGATGTCACGGGCACTTTAAAGCTGCACTGTCAAGAGGCACTTCCCTTYGACGCCCAGCAGAAATAATCCGTGTACTTCAGTACCTTGAGCGCGACCTTCAGGAGTATCTGGGTCTCCGGCAGGGCTCCATCCAGACTGAGCCAGCGATCCAGTACCAAGTCTGGCTCAGACAACAACTCCCTCAGAGGGAGAGTCAAGGACCCGAGAGCCTGACCCCAGCTGTGGGAGAGCTGAGCGAAAACGAACACATTTTAGTCACAAATAAACACATTTTTCATATCTTTACTCCATCTGTGAAAGAGATCGCACCTTGACTGTGAGCGTTTCGTCTCTGGGGTCACGAACCAGGAAGTGAAAGCCTTCATCCCATCGAGGAGACGTGGATCTCTCACAAATCTTTGTAAAAAGAATACAATTTTTTTTTTCAGCTTTCCAGTTTGTTTATATTACCAGGGTGGTAATGGTTCTACCTTGGTTTTGTAAGAAACACCCTTAAGAACAATTTCAGCTCCGGCCTTTGGCTCCTTTCCGTTTTTCTTTAACTGAAGACACACAAACAAATCAGCAAAATGAATTCTGAAGTGATTAACCGAACCGGCAGACGTGGATTCACATCCTCACAGCAGCACGTCGCCACTGGAAGCGTCAGTCTGAACAACAAACAGAACGGCGTGTTTTCTCACCGGCAGGCCGTGGGCCCGCTCCACGTACACAAACAGAACCGCCGCAGACGGCACCACTTTGTTCTGGTACGACTGCTGCGACTGATACTGCAGGACCTGCAGGCGACAGGAAAGAGATGATAGGGTGAAACAGAACATCTGTGGGTAAAGTTTCCTCCGGTGYACCACAGGTAAACACGTGACAGCAACTAACTAGTCTGCCCAAAACTACTGATAAAAAAAAACTCTGTGCATCTCAGAAAAAAATGAGCTCCTCCAAAACAAACATCTGGTTTTTACACTTTCGGAAAGAAGAAACCAGATATAAAGTAGTGATATTTAACAGTTGGAGGACATCTTTAATCATTTTGATATAAAGTATTTGTTTTGGCAAATACTCCTGCAGTCCATTAAGGAGGACCAAAGCTGACATAATTAAAAATAAAAGCAGAAATATATAAATGGCCCAATAAATAAATACAGAAATACACCTAAAATGCACCAATTAATTAAAAAAATGAAAATATTTACCTCAAGTTTTAAAATTTAATTCACCTCTTCTTTTTGCTGCAACAAATTATTTTTTATTATATCTTGTTAAAGGTAATAATGCAGTTTGTTGCTTGTGCCTTTCTCTTATATGTGTATTTATTTTCCATGCTCAGACCAGGTGATGCTCTGATGGTGGGTAGAGCCGCAGCAGCAAAACCACAGCGCTGCAAAAAACCACATCCTATTTAAAACCCCTCACTTTTCTAAATACCTTCTGTATCTCTTCCTGCTCCAAAATGCTTAAAAAAATCCTTGTTCCTTTCATCAAAAGTATCTTTAATCATCATTTGGCGTGGTTATGTAACAAGTGCTTTATAAGAACAGTGCATTCATTTAGTTTGTGTATCTTTAACAAAAAATAAAAAAAAGGAGGTTTCATTTCTAACCTGCTCCAGTCTGAGTAGGTCGGAGACTCTGGGCAGCCACTCTAACACCAAGTGAACTCGACCGGATTTGACGTCATTTAAAATGTACCACTAAAACAGGAACGACAAGAATGGTTATGATGATTCTCATGGATGCTGGTTTATTGTAAATATACTTTATTAATCTCACCCACCGTGTCCAGGAACTGTGCGCTGATGATGTCTCTCAGGTTAAGCTTGAATCTGCAAAGACAGGACTTAGTGAACATTTGAGCCTTATCTTCTACCTTGCATGCCAACATTTTAACAAAGATCGTGGAATTTTTGTTTAGTGAGGACGACCGTCGGCTACTACCATACCGAATTGTAGCTCAATATCTGTAAAGGTGACGCAACTACAGCTATTTTTGTGTTTACAAATACTGGCTTTGGAGTGACTCCAAAAGTTAAATCGGTTGTAGATGTCTATCGAATGACTGCTTTCTGAGAATTCCATAAAGAAAATGTGTCTTCTTGTTCAGGAAATACTTTGCTAACCGATATAACCTCACACAAATGCACAGTATTACATATTGTCCACATTTAAAGGTGGCATAAAAACATTCAGTTCCGTTTGTAGAGTGGAAACGTACCTTCCAAGAAAGTCGTCTTGATCGATGTCTTTGTCAAACAGCTCAAACTGAATCTCCTGACCAGGAAGCTGGGTCAAAATCACCTACATGCAAGAAATATCACCTCCAACATCATGATTTCATCAAATTACAAAAGTATTTGTGTGTGTGTGGAGGGTGGGGGGGGGAGAGAAAACAAACCTCAAACAGTTCATTCCAGACAGGGTTCAGGTTTTCTTTGATGGTGTGGCTGCGGAAAGTTATCCCAGCAACACGGACCTTCACGTAGGGGTCGCTCTTCCCTTTCACCATGCCCCCCATGAAGTTGTCTTTGGCGATCAGGTTCTGGGCCTCCACCAGATGGATCCGTAACACTCCCTGTGTGCAGAGCGAGTTCAGGGAACAGTTCAGGGGATGACAGAGGCACCTGCTGCTGCCTGGATGAAGTAAAGCGTTCACTCACTTCAGTTGCGAACTCTGGATCAGGCGTGGCGTGCTGGGGTCGGTTTGACTGAGGCRCAGTGAGCCCGCCGGGCCCGGTGGAGCTCAGGTCATCTGTGATTTCTCCCTGACTTATCCCGGACCCGGAGGATGACGGGCGGGGGGACGGAGTTGTGGGAGTGGCGTCATCGCTGAGCCACAAAATCTACCAGGAGGAAACCAAGAGTGAGCAAATAAGTAAAGAAACTAAAATTAACACATGACCCGTGGTCAGTGCACTAAACACTAACCCTAAGAACAATTTTGATATAGATGCGGCTGGCTTGACCCGAATTCTCCAGCTGGAACCACTGGTCCAAAGTGAGCTCAGGGGACTCCAGAAGACGGCTCAGCGGGATCGTCAGGCTGCCCAAAGAAAAGGAACGGTCATCATCCTTCACCTGGTCGAAAAACAAAAAACGAGAAAAACAACAAGTGATGAAACACASAAGACTGCAGTTTACAGAGAAAAAAGACTCGTTTATTGTGGCGTAATCTGTGAAATGTCAGCGCAGCAGGGATGATTTACCTGAATGTCAATATCTTGTTTGCGAGGATCTTGAATGAAGAAGGTGAAAGCATCCTCCCACACRGGGCCGTTAGTCCCATAACAAGTCTGCAAAGGCAGCAGCGGAGCAGTCAGTACGTTTAACGTTGGGTGTGAAGCATCAGGAACAGGAGCGCACCGACAGGTCAGCAGGTTCTCAGAWATCAGATTAATCTCCAGTCCATTAACGCACTAGATCAAAGCAGTTGTTCTGCAGCGACACATCTTTACTGTGAATCATTTACAATGTGAGAAGGCATCACAACTGGCTACTTTTATTAAGACGTTTAAAATTAAAGCCAAAGGAAAGTGTATTAAAAACTACAGGACAGAACCACAGATTTTCTATGAAGTTATGTCTGCTGCTCCCTTTGTTTCCTGTATATAACATAGAAAGGTGTACCGATACTAGTTTTGCTAAAAAAAAAAAAAAAGCTGGGTACGGGTACTTCATTTTGGGTACTCGTCCATGTCGAGTACTGATACAGAGTACTTTCTGAGTTAGAATTTAAACAATACACAAAGACTTTAAAAACACTTTATATAAAACAAGCTGGTTCTCATGCCTTATAGGCCCACAGCCCCTCTGACTGTCAAATCAAATATACAGCATGATATATACTGCTGCAACATTTTWAAAAAGTTATTTCACCTTCTTAAACATGGAACTGACAAACGTTTCACGTGAAATGTAAACTGTAACACACTGAATAGAGTATCATTATAGGGGTTTAAGAAAATATTGATACACTGAAATATTGTGATATTCTATTTCCTGATATTGYATCAATTCTCAAAAGMACTRTAYTGGTKTTTGATTAAGGCTAAAAAAYGTAAACATTTGTGCCAGTGGTTAATTTTTCTGTTGTATTTTAGCCTCTGATGCTAGTTGGCAGCAGTCAGTGCATGTAATGCATAGTGTGCTCTTTTTGCTAAGTTTTTTTTTTACCAAGTTTCCTTTTGGAGAAAAAGTTGTCAATATATCGCCTGCTTATAGTATCGCAATATATCGCGATATATCATGTAACTCCTGTATTGTGATCTGTATTATATCACTAAATTCTTGCCAATACACAGCCCGTATCAGTATCAGTTCTGGGCACTTTGTACAAGTATGAGTACTTCTATCAGGACACTACTACATAAATATATATTTAGCACAAAAAGAAAGAAAATGTGAATTTGGTAGATTATTCCTCTTTTTAACAATGCTTCTTATCAATAAATATTATAGTAGATACTGGGGGTACCAGAAGCTCAAACAAGAGTCACCAGCATCAGGAAAATAAGCTATTTGGCAGAGAAGATTTGGTAAAATTTTAAAGAGCACAACCCACATACTCAGCTCTACAGCTCGTCCCAATGCATGTTCCTTACAAACGTGGCCCTTTTTACAGTAAAAGGAAATTTAACTTCAAATTGTATCAAATGGTATCAAATGTATTGCGACGAAGTGTTGTTACAACAAATAAATCATCTACCAAACACAAATTTCCTTACTTTTTGTTTTAAGAGAGATTTGCAAAGAAAACCACAATCAGTGCACGCCCAGTTAGGATGCAGTGTTATCAGTGTTACCTTGCTTTCTTTAGTTGTATCCTGAATGGAAATCTGCACCATTGGACTCGGATCTTTGTTCCCTTTCCTCATCTGAAACATTTTAAAACCCATCRGTAAAGGGAGACCGCTTCAGTGCACACCGTGAAAATTTATCAGCGAGGCTCTTACAGGCAGCTCATGGGCTTGGTCAAGATAGACGGCAAGGATAGCAGCAGATGGAGGATCAGCTGTCTTTGCAGTCAAGTTCTGGTTCTTCTGAATCACCTGGTGACAAAACAAAACAAAAAAAGAGGAACAAGTGAGGAAAACTGTATATGTCTCTATTTAATTAGAATGTAAATAGTTTCATGCTGTTTTCCTCGTAAAGTCAGCATAAATATAAAATACCTGAACTTATTAGTAGATGTGTAAAAAAACAAGAGAGAGTAAAATGTCTACATCATTAAACTCTTGTGTTGACAGTAAAATTAGCCTCACTTCACTCAGTCTGTCAGCAGAGGACAGCAGAGAGAGCCACTCCAGCCGCAGGTGAACGCTGCCAGATGGAACGTCGCTCAGACTGAACCACTGTGTGCCAAAAAAAAAAAATAAAAAAAAAAGAAAAATGTGAGGGGAGAGGAGACAGCCCATTAAATATTTTGTTTTTGCCTTGGCTGCTTCCTTTGGCCTTGATGTTTTTTTTTTTGTTTTTTTTTTTGCAGAAAAACAGAGATCACAAGGATGCACATGGTGTCTCCAGTATCACATGCTAACATGATTACTCAAATAGTTTTCAGAGGGAAATAATGTAGCAATTGATCTAAGACAATAAAAAACAAATCATTGGAATATTTAAAAAGAGAGATTTCAGTCCAAAACATCCAAATCCTTGGGACTCACATCATCCACAATTCTGGCCTTCTTCACAATATCAAGATCAACTTTGACCCTAAAAGGCAGACACAAAGCAAAAAMCAGATAATTAAAAAACAACAAGAAGATGATCGGTTTCATTTTTAACACAAACGTGATCCAAAATGTTAAAAAGAGGATGTGGATATGAGGTGAGAAGAAAAAAGAAATGGGAATGAGTAAGCTACCTCCCCAGGAAGTCATCCTGGTCTGGGTCTTTGTCAAACACTTCCACCTCCAACTCCTGACCAGGTACTTCATGGACAATCACCTGACACATACACAAATAAACAAAAACACAAACACACACACACATACACACAACAAATATACACTAAATAAACCCACAAATGGCATAAAAACACAAGGGCATGCAACAGATTCACAACGCAAGAATGATGCTCTTTTGTGCACAATTTAACCCTGTTTCCTGTTTGACTTTACAGTTTTTGCTAAAATTATTTCCAGATATTTTGGGTTATTTTAGCCTTCTATATATCAAAAGGTTCGGCTCAGTCAGAACTGGTCTACCATGACTACTTTTATACTTTCTAAAATATTAAACTTTTAAAAAAAAATTCCACATTAGAAGGCATTAAGATCTCTTTGATTCATTTAAAAAACATTTTTTCTTGTAAATTTACCTCAGTGCACTTAGTCTGCTTTAGTCTTTTTTGCCACATTTAGCTTTAAGCCACTGCTTTACCACTTTAGGCTATTAGCTATCGTTATGCTACTTTTAGCTACTGATATACTACATATAGATTTTAGCCATCATTTGGCTATTTTCAGTTACTGTTTTCCCTAATTTTGGCTACCAGTTTTCACACTATTTTGCAACTCGTGCTACTTTTAGTTACTGTTTGCTACTTTCAGCTACTCCTCAAATTGTATGTATCATTTTACTAATTTTAGCTAATGTTCTGGTCATTTTAGCTACTTTTCTTGTACATTTAGCTACTACCGGGATTTAGCTTTTAGCTTCCATTTTTTCTGTACCAATGCATTTAGGCTATTGTTCGACCACTTTTAGATTTTTATACTGTTTTATTTTTTAAGTTTTAGTTATTGTTTTGTTGTTTTAGCTACCAATTAGCTGTTTTTTTTTTTTTTTGCTATTTATGGTTTGCTACCTTCAGCTTTTAGCAGCACCTGCTACTTTTAAATGGTAAATGGACAGTACTTGTATAGCGCCTTTCTACCCAACCAGGATACTCCATGCACTTCACACAACAATCTGTGTCCTCACCCATTCATACAGCACTCTATCAGATCTACAAAGCTAACATGTACAATCAATCTTATAGCAACAATTCTGCTACTTATAGCTACCGATTAGCTACTTTTACTTTTTTCGCTAATGTTTTGCTACTTTCAGCTTTAAGAAACAATTCTTCTACATTTAGCTACCATTCTGCTAGTTTTAATCTGCTACATATTTTCAGATTTTAGTTTTAATATCAGTTTTTCTCATTTTAGATACTGTTCTTCTTGAACTTTCAGTTCTAGTTTCTCCAGCACTCTACATTCAAACAGCACGTTCACAGAAAAATCTAGTTTAATCTTAGTTTAGTGTGTGGATGAAACTTTTTTTTATCTAGAGGAAATGACAAATGTGTTTTGGAGAAAGCGGTTGCTTATCGAAGAAACCGACGCTTCCTGTGAGCAGAGCTGATAAAATCCTCACAAAAATATTTGTCTTTGCAGCAGCAGTGACACGTTTACAATGAGAGACCTGAAAATAGTCTCCACAAAGCAAGAACATCGACATCAAACCTGCATCAATTTTTTTAGCTCAGCTTCAGGTGTCAGCTCCCCAACATCCCCACCTGAGGCGCCTCACCTCATATATCTCTCTCCACTGCGGGTTCAGGTTGCTGTCCACGTGATGAGAAGTGAAGATCTGCGTCCCCACGCGCAGCACGGCGTACGGGTCTGACTTTCCGTCAATTAGGCCCTTGATGACCGTATCCTTAGCAGTCAGGTTCTCAGCCTCCAGAAGGTGAATACGAACAACTCCCTAATAACAAAACGTGGAAAGAAAATAAATGCCATAGTTATATTTAAAATGTACCGTACTGATCTGATTCAGTCAGTAAGGTGTCCAYGTTTCTCCGGCAGGACGTTTAACTTTGAGACCGTTACCCTTGGGAGAGGTGAGCGAAGCTGTGCCACGAGCAGGTCAGCCACCAGAGGGATGGTGAGGCGGTTAGGCAGCACCAGGTGGGACGCTATCGCATCCATTATCATGGTGTCCGATATGGCACTGCAAAGGAACGCAGGGAGCGTGTTTGGGACCACTGCAGGTTCAGGCATTAACAACATGAACTAAAGCACGTGGCTTCACAGAAAGTATTAGGAGTTTATTTTTGTGCCTTTTTTAAATCTGGTTAACAAGAGCAGAAATGATGCGTTCAGTTGCTCCTGTTCAGTAAGCATGTGACCACACCCAGCTGGACACCAGAGCTCTGTTGTCTGTCGGAGTTTGTTTGGAATCTGGAAAATCGCTAACTTTATTAGATCTGTTACTCAGATGGGCAGAAATGTAAGCCAAATGAATCCTAAAAACTCACTTCAGACCAGGAATATCCAACAGATTGGTGAGTCCAGTCCAGTTAATGTCAAGTTTCTTCAAGAGAACACACAAAAAAGTAAATAAATGTAGCTCTCAGATGTGATTTTTTATTTGTTTATTTATTTTTTGCTGGGAGAATCCATAAAACCACTCACAGGCCTGCGAATGAAGAACATCGTAACAGCTCCGACCAGCGGCATGTCTCCAATCAGCGGCTCAAGGATCACACGCAGCTTTCCGTGCAGCTGAAAAGAYGACTACGTTACGACAGGCTCACGGCAAACATGATCAGGATACGCTAATAATTCTCACCGCACCTGGACTCCTTTCACTCCAGCTTTGCAAAAATACTTCTTAATTTCAACGTTGATCTCGACGTCACCAGCGTAGCTGGTAACAGGAGACGAAGAGTAAAGACAAATGTTTAATCAAGGGAAGCAGCTTGTTTTCTTTGTGTTAAAGTACACAGAGGTACTCTGTTACCAAGAAAAGCACGAAAACGGCAGCCATGCGTGACAATGACAGCTTATTGAAAGTTGTGTGTTACCTCAGGTACAAATCCAACATGACTTGTCTCTTATCCTGTTCGGTGTGAGCCTTTATGCCAACCAGCTTCACCGCCTGTGAACACAAACAGCTGCTTTTACAAAAACCAAATAAAACAGTTATTATAGGTGTCTTGACTGCTTTTATTAGAAGTGTGGCAGAGCTCAGAGAGCCATGGAAATAACGCAGCAGGTTCCCGTACCTTTTCTCCCAGGTTGACCTTAGTAAAGCTGAGAGTCTGCAGATGAATGCTGGAAGCTCGGATGGCCGGAGCTATGGTTTCCACCAGCAGCTTCTCCAGATACTGGCCGACGAAAGGCCAAGCCTGCTGCAGGACCTACACCGCACAGCAGARTTATTAAAAACACTGTAAACCTAAAGACACCTGTCAAATAACTAGAGAAAAGAGCATATTCTGCTAAAGAACAAAAAAAATGCAGTGTCAGCGTTGAGAGGTGACTGACTCTGCTGAAATCTGCAGAAGCCGAAACTGAGCTGTTAAATTTGAAAGAAGCAGAACAAAGGCAGAAATAAGCTAGCTAAAAACTTTTAACTAAAAGCACAACAGTAAATAAAATGAGCAAACCAGATACTAAAGCTAATGTTAACAAAACTGTAGCTAAAAGTACAAAACACAGATTCTAAAACTAAAGTCGCCAAAATAATAGCTAAAATTAGTAAAATTATTAAAAGTAGAATCATATGCTAAAGCTAAAGCCAGCAAAACAGTAGCTAAAAAGAGTAAAATTGCAATGAAAATTATATATAAAAAAACCAGATGCTAAATTTGAAGTCAGCTAAACTGGTCATAGCTGAAGGCTATAAGAATGGTTGCTAAAAGCAGCAAAATAGTGGCTGAGAACTAAAAGTGTTGAAATGTTATCTAAAAGACAAAAGTAGATAAGTGTTAGTTAAAGCACAAAAGAAGCAGAATAGTACCTTAAAGTAGCAACTTTGTGGCTAAAGGTACAAAACACAAATTCTAAAGCTAAAGGCACCAAAACAGTAGCTAGAATGAGTAAAACTGTTAAAAATAGAATCGGTACCACTTTACAATAAGGCTCCCCTTATATATGGCTTATAAATAGTTTATAGATATTCATCTGTAAACACTTTATAAATCATTAATTAGTGTTTATTATTCATTAATTAAGGACAGGAAAGAGAGAAAACTGTCCTATTTCTTGCCAAATAGTGAGCCAAATGTCTCCATGTTTATATTACATCTAAAGGTGCTTATTAAACATTTCAGACTAGTTTACTACCTTGTAAGGAAAATAATTTATTGAAAACACATATTTTACACATAATATTGTACTGTATTACTGCATTGTACATATCCACAGTAATTAAAGGGAGCGTTACTGTAAAGTGTTGAACAGTATAATAATATTAATGTCATATCAGAGCCTTTAAATAGTGTACTGTTTTACACTTTACAATAAGGCTCCATTTGACAGTTGTTAATGTGTATAAGTAATAAAGTTCAATACTATTTTTTTAAATATGTGTTTCCAATACATAATTGTGCTTATAAGCCTAGAGAAACAGATTTGGCTCACAATTTGGCGAGAAACCTGACAGTTCTGTCTCTTTCCTGTCCTTAATTAATCCATAATAAACATTTATTAATGATTTATAAAGTGTTCAATAAGGCTCCCCTTATAGATGGCTTATGAATAGTTTATAGATAGGTTATTAATTCATTTGTAAAGTGATACCATAGAATCTTATGCTAAAGCTGAAGCCAGCATTTGCTAAAGACGATTTCCGGAAAAATAAGATTGTGAAAGTACTGAAGAGCTCACTGTGGATTTCCATTGGATATTTAATTTGAAATAAAATTATTTATTTTTGAAAAGTGTAAAAATTACATAAAGAAAACAAAAGTTATAGGACAATATTCCCCGTCAAGCTGAATGCTTTGGTAAATAGGTACAGAAAACCTATAAACAGCAAAAGAGTAATAAGCATTGAATCAAAATTGCTATAATATGTCATCAAATGCAGCTCATGTTTGGAGCCACTGTAATATACTTATGTTTAAATGATGTTCAGTTTTGTGCTTCAGTTCATAAAATTTCCAGTCTGTTGTCGACTACATTACAGTTTCCCCTCCAGAAGAGCGGCTCAGTCGTATTAGTATTCATATCCACACTTGACGGGAACTTACTGCACCGACAGAGACRAAGAAGCTGCGATAAGATCTGGGCCACTCTCCCTGCCTCTTAATTACACCGGCAGGTTATCTGCTCAGCTGTTCATGCATACTTTCTTTTAACATTAAACGTGAGGCTCTGATGCACCTTTTGTTGCAGTCTGGTGAATTATGAACGCCTTATTATTGCAGGCTGAAAGGTGAAGGTGACTGAGGCTGTGAGTCTGCCTGTTAGCAGGATATCTCATAAATCATTTGACGGATTTTAGTAAAACTTTCAGGGAAAAGACATTTGATGTAGCTCTAAAACTGATTAACTTTTGGAGTCCACGCAATTCGGGATGGCCGGCACAGCCAACTGACCTTAGCAAACAGATGACTAAAAGTCAGACAATTTCTCGGACATTGTGTTCAAATTTGGTGCGAGAGTAGATGAGAGTCATCCACAACACATCTACTATAAGTGCACATGATCTTTGCTTCAAAGCTATAGCATTAGCTGTGGGACTCAACTACACTTGTCTGTTAGCAAAATACTGGATATGTTTTAATGAAATTTTCAGACCGTCATCTCTGAATGTACTTCTACAACTGATTCACTTTTGGAGTCAGTTAAATTCAAGACTGCTTCAGCTAGCTGATATTAGCCAACACAAATATGGCCACAACTCAGTCAGTCTGCGGAGAATCACGACACATAGTCTGAAAGTGGCATCTTGCAAAATCCTATGAGACTGCGTATGCAGCTACTTTCAAGGTTTGACCAAAAACAGACATAATTCTTTCCTCAGCATCAGATGACGGCCTTACACTCTGATATAAAAGAGCCAGCCTCTTTGTTTTTAAATGCTGCCACTGACGGACGGAGCAGATCGTGTTAAAACAAAAGGGGAGTGAGGGATGCAGCTGTGCAAATTAAAGTGCAAAGCTCACCTTATTCAGCCACTCCACTTTTTCAACTTCGGGAAAATTGACCTGTGAACGAGCAAAAGATCAAAATGAGCTTGAAATGGTCACAGCAGGGTTAAATCTGCACCAGTTTTTAGGTTTGAAATGATACAAGTGTGCTATTATTCAAAAAAGAACAACATTCATTTTGCTTTAGAAACATAAAACAAAAGGCAACATTTTTACATTATTAGGTTACTTCTCTTCATTTTCACTAGAAAAGCAAAAGACACAAACCTAAAAAAAAAACAACTTTCAGGAAACCGGTAACCATATTTGTCACACCATAAATTAGACTCTCTCTCTCTCTCTCTCTCTCTCTCTCTCTCTCTC